TAATAATAAGTTACCGGTAATAATAATAAGTTACCGGTAATAATAATAATAACGCACACACTCAACATAGCCCCGCACTAGGGAAACCCTGTGTCGCGGGTGCCATGGACACACATAGACAACCACAAATTACACCCAAACTCACGAGAGAAATAAGTGTAGGTCATACAAATATTTCGCCCGGCCCGGGAATCGAACCTGGGACCTCTGCGTGGCAGTCCGGCATGGTAACCGTTCGGCCACTGAGGCAGTTAGATAAATACATCTTAAATAACTTAAACATGCTAACTAATGACTATATCCTTACAATCATTTACTTATTTTCTAAAGTCCTGTGTTTACAATATAATATAATATTGGATGGACTTAATTTTTATCATCAAATAATTCGTTCAGGCTGTAATAGCACTTTTCAATAAGAAAATTTAAGTTGTTTATTGAAAATTTTGGTTGTGTCTATACTTTTAATTTCATTGGGTATTTTATTATAAATTTTTATTACCATGGGATGTGGGCCAGAAGTAAATATTTATTTATTTATTCATTCAAGAAACAAACATTCGATATAAAACTATTATTAAATTGACGAATAAAGCAGACCTAGAGTTTCCTTAATTATAATTATAATTATAATGCAGTTGAAATCTTAAAAACTATCAATATGGAACAGTTATAGTAAGGCTTTAATTTTAGTTTTGTTTAAGAAATATTTAAACATATAATTTAAAATGTAAAATGTAATGTAAAAGTAAATAGTAGTAGAATTAGTAGATTTAGAATATGGCAATGTTCCATTTTGATTCCATCACATCCAACTTGCTTCAGCCAAAATTTGATATTTCAAAAATAAATATACCTAAAGTTATTAAGTTATCTGATGATAACTTTAATGTTCCATCTGAAATATCAATTCTTTTAGGAGCTGACATATATTTCAGTATTCTATTGAGTGGCCAAATAAAAATTAAGGATGGCCCCATGTTACAAAATACCTTATTTGGATATACTATTGGGGGCAGTATGGGAAAACCAAATAGTAACTGTGAACCCTTAGTGAATAATTTTGCTGTATGCAATAGTAAGAGGTTGGAAGAAGTGATGGAACAATTTTGGTTATCAGAAAGTATTCCTGAGCCAACTAGTAACATTTCAGAGGAATTTCAAAAGGCTGAGCATTGTTTTCAAGAGAGCACTCGACTTGTTCACAATACATTTTTTGTAAATATGCCTTTAAAGGCTGAACTAAATGAATTACAACCTGGTGATTCCTTCTCTGTAGCGTTGCAAAGATTTTTAACACTAGAGAAAAAGTTTCAAAGAAACAACTTGTATCTAGAACAGTATAAACAGTTTATTGAAGAGTACATAAAATTGGGGCATGCTAAAATAGTAGACATAGGTGAATATGATGTCCAATGTGGGTCTGTTTACTTCCTGGCTCATCATGCTGTTTTAAATATGGACAGTTTAACAACAAAGTTGCGTGTAGTATTTGATGGTAGTATGAAGTCTAAGTCTGGGGTCTCTTTAAATGATGTCATGATGAATGGTCCGGTGGTTCAAAGTGAACTATTTGATATCCTTCTTCTGTGGAGGACCTTTATTTACACCCTTAGTTGTGATATTACTAAAATGTTTAGGGCTATTCGGTTGAATTCGTCTCAAACCACCCTCCAAAATATTCTTTGGCGTGACAACCCCAGCTTGCCCATCAGGTGTTTACAGCTGCAAACTGTTACTTACGGATTGAAGGCATCCACCTTTTTAGCTACACGCTGCCTTACAGAGTTAGCCCATAGATTTCAAAAGGAATATCCACTAGCGGCGGAAGCCTTGTTTAAGGGTACATTCGTTGATGATGTAATTTCAGGCTCACATGATGAGGATCAGCTGGTAGCGCTAAAAAATCAGTTGATTCAGTTATTACAGAAGGGGAGTTTCGATCTCCACAAGTGGTGCTCGAATATAGCTAAAGTACTTGACGATATTCCTGATGAGAAAAAGTATTTTGAAGAACTTGATATTAATAGGAGTAACATTGTTAAGACATTAGGCTTGAAGTGTGACATTTTGAATGATCAATTGACATTCACATCTCCAAGTACCGATTGTACTGAAATTCAAACAAAGCGTAAAGTTATAAGTTTCATTGGGAGAATGTTTGATCCATTAGGACTTATTGCTCCAATTATAGTGATAGCTAAACTCCAAATGCAAAAATTATGGTCTATGAATATAAACTGGGACTCTATATTGCCCCAAGAACAACTTCATAGTTGGATATCATTTTTAGATAGTTTACAAGTCAATGGGGACTCTTACTGTTCCGAGATATGTGAACAGTCATACAAACATTTGTGCTGAATTAGTTGGGTACTCAGACGCCTCAATGAAGGCCTTTAGGTGTTGTATTTATTTAAGACTTCTCAATTCAGACGGAACAGTCACTATAAACCTATTATTATTCGATATGAACATGCAAGACTTTTGCATGCAGGGGCAAGGTTAGTGCTTGGTTCTCTTTCACAGCGATTTTGGCTCATTAGTGGCATATCTCAGGTTAAAAAGGTGGTAAACCAATGCATTCCCTGTGCAAAGATGAAAGCAAAGGCGGCTCAGCAGCTGATGGGCTCGCTGCCACAAGAGAGACTTGATGCTGTAAGACCGTTTTACGTTGTAGGTGTTGATTTTTGCGGACCATTTCATTTAAAGGTATCGCGTATTAGAAAACCAATTATAACTAAGGGGTATGTTGCACTCTTTGCTTGCTTCACGACTAAAGCAGTCCATATGGAGCTTGTTAGTGATCTCACTACTGACGCTTTTTTAGCATGCCTCAAAAGGTTTATAGCCAGGCGAAGTATACCTGTTAAAATTTTTTGCGACAACGCCAAGACGTTCAAACGTGCTTCAAATGTATTAAAAGAGTTGTATGAACTTTTTAAATCTAAGACTCACATAAATGCAGTAGAAAGTTATTGTCTTTCCAATTACATCTAATTTAAATTTATTCCAAGTTATGCACCTGAGTTCGGTGGCTTGTGGGAAGCTGGTGTTAAGAGTTTTAAGCATCACTTTAAAAGGATAGTTGGAAACATTGCATTAACTTTTGAAGGATTATATACTGTTATTACTGAAATTGAAGCAATCTTAAATTCAAGGCCCTTGCTGCCCATAAGCTCTGATATATCATGTTATGATTATCTTACGCCTGGTCACTTCCTCATAGGCAAGCCTATGACGAGCTACCCTGACATAGACCTGTCAAATAAAACTATTAACCGACTTCAATTCTGGAACATGCTTAGTAAAATCAAACAAGACTTTTGGAAAGTCTGGTCAAGATTATTATCTTACACAATTACAAAGCCGCCCCAAATAGAAGCAAGTACATGCTAACCTAAAAACCTAAAAGTTGGAGACCTAGTTATTGTACGAAGTGATCATACTCCTCCTTTAACATGGCCGATGGCAAGGATTGTTAACAATATGTGGACCTGACGGTAGAGTCAGGGTGGCTGAAGTCAAAATGAATAACAAATTATATGTTAGGTCATTTAGAAAATTATGTCCATTACCAATAGGAGATTGATACAATCTCAGTTGTTTTCAACATCATTTTGTAGGTTGTTAGTTTTATTTTATAGTTTTCAATTTCTCTATAGTCTAAGTGTCAAATGTTAAAAATAATAGAGCATGTAGTAAACGTAAATTTTTATTGAAACTAAAATCTAATTGCATTTCTTACTCTTATGTATAAGTTGTTTAAAGTTAGTTTTTTGTGTTAAGGTACATTCAGTGTGCATTCATTGTATTGTGGCCCCGGCCCAACAATGTTCAAGAAATATTTAAACATATAATTTAAAATGTAAAATGTAATGTAAAAGTAAATAGTAGTAGAATTAATAGATTTAGAATATGGCAATGTTCCATTTTAATTTTGGTAAGGCAACACCTTTTTTCTCTCTCTTCTCCCAAAACCCTTGTAACGGCACGTCTAAAATTTAAGTATCTAATATTTTAAATACAGTCCATTACTTCAACTTGCATTTTATTTGTACAAGTTTTATATTTTGGGAACGAATTACATAAAATATCCACATCCATGAACCTGCTGTTGTACGTCTGACATGATTGCCTAATAAAGCTATTGCCAACGAAAACATTTCCGCGACTTCTTCATTGAGAAAAGTGTATTCCTACGAGAAGATCTTTCAATTTGCCAGGGTACTCTGAAATCTATAAGATTCAGTAGCGGTGTCGAATCAAATTCATTATTTACTATTTTATATTAACTGACAGTATCTATGTAATCACGACGACTCTTGAGCAACTCGATTCTATGTCTATCCACATAATGCTCATAATCAATATAATCATGACCAGTCCTACTGTCAAGAGCATTAACAAATTTCTTTTGTACTCTTTCAATTTTGTCTATGTGGGTGTTATAGAAGGGATGCCAAACTGCACAGGCGAACTCTAATCAACTACGAACAAAGCTATTAAATAAAAGTTTAAATGTAAAAGGACTTTTGAAGGGCTATCCCATACGTAGGATGAACCCGAGCTGTTTATAAGACTTGGCAAGTACGTAATCTATATGCGGTATAAACGTGAGCTTTGAGTCCAAAATGACGCCCAACTCACGAATTTGCGTAAGTCGAGATAGGGGTTTATCACAGAGTGTGTAATTGTAATTTATTGCGTTTGTTTATCTTGTGAAAGATATTACATGGCACTTGTCGGGGTTCAAGAAAAGATTATTTGAATTACAGAATTCCTAAAGTAAAAAATATCATTTTGCAGTTTATCACAGTCACTGTTAATACGAATGATCTTAAAAATCTTAGTGTCATCTGCATACATTAGCAGATCAGAAAAGGTAGTAAATATTAGTGATGTCATTGATGTATAGGTATAACAACGGACCAAGATGTGAACATTGAGGAATTCCGGAGGTAATGCATTTATAAACAGATACAAAACCGCCATGCACCACTGCCTGGCTCCTATTTTCAATACCTATAAGACTTAATCCAGCGCAAAAGATCACCGTGTATACCGAGTAGTAAAAGCTTCGCGAGCTTCGCATCCTTTCGGAACAGGAGTGATCCATACTTGCTTCCAAATATTAAGAAATATCCCCCGCGCAAAATACTTTTTATAAATTAACGTTAAGGGCAAAGAAAGAGCAGTCGCACAATTGCGAAGAGAATAGGATGGATCTCGTCTGGGCCAGCACCTTTACTTGTGTCAATAGATTTCAAAATGTTGTATACAGTTTCTTTAGCTATTTCTACAGAATGTATATTAAAAACACAATTAATATTTGTATTCAATAGGATGGGATAAGAGCAAGATTGCTCAAAAACAGAATGGAAATAATCATTAAACCGATCACAAATTTCTTGTCCACTACCAAGAGTAGCACCTTTGTAAGTCATGACTTCTGGAAGTTGACTGTTTGAGTACAAAGACTTTATATAAGTCCAGAAGTACTTTGGTTGTGTTTTAATGTTTTGCTCAAAATATTGAATATAACTTCTGTAACATTCGGTTTCTAACTTCGCGGTTCGCTTTCTAAGTAATTTAAATGTATTGTAGTCGAGAGGGTTACCGTACAGTTTCCAAAGCTTGTGGCATTTTTTCTTTTCCTTGAAAAACTTTTTAAGACGTTTACTGAACCATACAGGCAAAGACCCTGTAGAAGGGAGCTGCCTAAGAGGAACAACTTTAATCATTAGTGATTTCAATACCGAATAAAAATTTTTAATACATTCTTCAACTGCCAGGGTGGCAAATAATGCCAACTAATCATATTTCTGAAGTTCACAATTGATTGAGTCAAAATCCGCGGAGTGGTAACTATAAACAAACTTTGTTTTTAATTTACGAGGAAGGCTATAGTTTCAAAGCAATTCAATAATTAGGGACAGATGATGGTTGTCTTCATCCGTAAGCGGAGTATCACAGCGAGTGACACTACAATCAATATTACTTAAAACAAGATCCAATATTCGATTATTAACATTGTGGCAAGGATTAAATTGTGCGAGATTAGATAATGCTATAAATTCACTCAATATTTGTGATTCGTAATTATTATTACAAAGCTCTGCACCTTTGTTTGTAAAAGAAACCGTGTACTCTGCGTCCGGTATATTAAAATCACCTAACAATAGAAACGAATCCCCGGGTCGACCATTAACAAGTTGACTAGCAATATCAAAGAAAGATATTAGAGCCTTGCGATGAGCAGGGCCGCTAGGAGTGTATAAGGATGCTATGTTCAAGTGTCTCTGGTGGGACGCGCGGCCGAGGGTAAGCGCGCTCCTGTCGTTGGTCCGTGAAGCGGCACTGAGACCCACGGCACTCGCAGCGGTGGACATGGCCAATAGCGACACACGGGTTGACGCTGGCCGCAGCTGATCGATCGCAACGATATACTATATACCTGCTGTCAAAAAATTCACAGTCGTAAAAGTCAGATGTTAACCAACTTTCTGAGATACAAAGAAAATCATAATCATTTATAGCCACATAAGACAAGAAAGAGTGAATTTTGGTCCGTAGACCCCGAACGTTTTGATAATATCCACGTGACTTAGAGAACATTTTTAAAATAAATATTTCTTTTATAAGAGTTACGAGTATGAACAGATCTGTCGCAGGTAGCACACAAAATAACTAGAGAATTAATAATAATAAGAGATTTCATTTGCTGGCGTTGGCAACAACAGGTACAATTTATGTAGTCAGAATTACAGCTGGAGGGTGAATAATTATAACAAACATTAGATAGGAAATGAAACTATTTTTCCGGATTTAAATCGCGTATATTTGTTTTTACAAACAAACCGACGAGTCCCATGGTCACGGTTGACTGAGGTGGTACAGTCTTCAACCAGTTATGTCTAATATTGATGCAAACCACCCTATTTTTTCCACTATAGTTATTAATTAAATATCTTATTTTTAATTTTACAAATAAAACATTCCAAATTACGCTATATTAAGTTTTACAAATTATTTTAATAATAATAATAATAAACATTTATTTCAGATAATTGCATCCATATTATTGTTAGTAACATTGGGTACTTACAACTATGTTAATTAATAATAATAATGATAATAATAATAATAATAACAAAATTTAACTATAATAAAATTAAAATGATACTAAGACTACTACTTACATACAATTAAGTCCACCCAGAACTTCAGGATGGGACAATCAAACCTATTAGCGATTACGTTCAGAATCCTGTTGTGACTACCTCGCACCCGGCTCAACAGAGACGCAACCTGCTTCCGTCGGATGGCATAAAAGTCATCAGTGCGTTCCTCGGCGAACATCC